TACTGCCAGCGATCCATCAGCCCAAATGGACGTTCATGCAGCTGCTGCACTCAGCGGACGCGCCCTGCCGAGACCCAAACAGGCGAGATCACAAAATATTCGACATGTCAGAGCAGGGTTCAATACAGGCAGAAGCAGGGGAAGCATTTAATGCGCTTTGAGAGCTCCTCAGCTCTGATCTTCTGCCCCCTCAGTCACGCTCATCCGTCAACTGTCAATAATAGTCGGTGGTATAAGCAGACAAAGCTTAATAAAAAATGTCGGGGTTTTTTTCGAGTTCGGACCTGTAATTACTGTTAATTCGTCGGATCGGGTGGGGTTCGGAGATGATGGCTGCGGGCTGGGGCCGGGTCGGTTTGGATTATTTGGACCCGAGTGCATCTCTACTTTCTTGACCAGTAAGATCGACATTAGACTGAAGACAATTTGGCAAAGACTGCTGGTTGTTGAGAAGATTGTGGATTATAACTTTCTTTAAAAGCCAGTTTCCTCACAAGTGTTCGTTTTTTGGTCCTCATATTTGTTGTCCAACAGAGACAATTCTTGATACGAAGCAAGCATCTTGTAAACCTTTTCTATTATAGTTCTTAACTAAATGATTCACAAAAACTGAGTTGCACTGGTGGGAGGAATGACGGCAGTAACACCAGGTCTCCTTTGTAAGCTAATCAAATTTAATGAAATTATGATCAGATAAAGTGATCCACAGCAGGTTCATGGTCTCCTTGTATTATTCATAAATGTCAGTTTTGTGTACAGATGGCAGTGAAACCTAAAAAAAACCCCATTCTAAACCCAGTTTACAGACATAAATGTACATACATGTTTTTTTTAAACAACTTGTGGCTGAAGGAATAAATGTTTTCTTCATTCAGTTAGTTCTGTGCTTTGGTGGATGTGACAAACTGTTTTCTTAGTGGATCACATGAAAGATGAATTTGGCTTTTCTCAAAGATTTACTGAAGTTACTGGAATTCCAGTAATTTAGCTTCACACCTAATTCAGAAGGATGAAAGAAATAATGTGATTTTTGCTGTTGCATATTATTTTTGTTTTACTGTTTTTATGCTATTTGAATGAAAGTGTGTTAATCTCTGCCTCGGATATTTCAGCTCACAAGTTCATATAGTTTAAAGTCTATTAATTTGAACTGGTATATCAATCTAAACCAAGACTATGGATTATGAAAGTAATTTAATTAAGAATTGTTAGGGCTGGCCAGTGGGGATGCTAATGAAAAGCAGCTAGCACTAAGGAAATTCAGACAATTAGTTGCAGGACTAATCTTCTCCCCTGTTTATGGGATTAAAAACGTCTTCTGGTGTTTTACTCAGGCCGTTTAATGTCACATATTTTAATATGAGGCTTGCACAAAAAGCCCTGGGTGAATCGTACTATTGTGTTTTTTAAAGGCACAAGTTAAATGTTACAGGAGAATGAGATCAAATTTCTCATTCATTTATATAATAATGAAACACACCCAGTTGTTTTATTGTTAAATTATTCAAGTTACAATTTTTTAAACATTAGTAGTTCAAACCTGTCAATGTAAAGTTTTGTGGAAAGGTTATGAACATGGGCAGCACGGTGGAGCAACTGGTAGAGCTGCTGCCCCTCAGCGAGCAGGTCCCCGGCTCAAACCCCGGTCCAGGGGCCTTTCTGGGTGGAGTTTGCATGTTCTCTCTGTGCATGCGTGGGTTTTCTCCTGGTACTCGTTTCCTCCCACAGACCAAAAACATGCATGTTAGGCTGATTGGTAACTCTAAATTGTCCCTAGGTGTGAGTGAGAGAGTGAATGGTTGTTTGTCTCGTTTGTCTCTATGTGGCCCTGTGATGGACTTGCGACCTGTCCAGGGTGTACCCCGCCCCTCGCACAGTGATTGCTGGACATGGGCACCAGCGACCCCCGTGACTCAAAATGGAATAAGCGGGTAAAGATAATGGATGGATGGATGGATGGATAGTAAATAGTAGATGAAATAGCAGAAAAAACTGGAACTAGTCAAAAAAAGCTGACGGGAGCATAACAAGCTGAAATTAGCAGAAAGATGTTAATTAGTCTGAAAGTAGCAGAAATTAACACAAAAACTTGAATTAATCTGAAAACAGTTGAAATTAGCTAAAAAATGCTAAAAAAAAAAAGGTAGTTTAAAAAGTAGAACAAGCTTAAATTAGCAAAAGAAAGCAAAAAGAATACATTTGCTGAAAGAAGCAGAAATGAGCACATAAAAGTGGAAATTATCTGCAAACAGCTGAAACTAGCAAAAACAGCTGAAAAGTAGCTAAAAACCAGAAAGAAACAACTTACCAGTAGGCAAAGGAGAGAGCACATTTTAGCTGAATTAGGCTGAAAAGAGTTTAAATCAGTTCCAAAAATGTGGGATAAGCTGAAAAAGGTAAGATTAGTATGAAACAGATAAATAGTATCTGAAAAAACTGAAGATAGCAGAAATAAGGTGAAAGGAGCGCAAGCTGAAATTAGTAGAAATAAGTTGATTAGGGTTAAAAAAGCAGATATGAGCACAAAAAAGTGGAAATTATCTAAAAACAGCTGAAATTAGCTTAAAAAAACCCTAAAAAGCTAACTGAAAAATTAGAACAAAATTAAATTAGCAGAAGAAAGCAGAAAAAAATTGTTTGCCCAATTAGGTTGAAAGAAGGAGAAATGAGCACAAAAGTGGGAATTATATAAAAAAGCTTAAATAAATAAAAAACAGCTAAAAAGTAGCTGTAAGAGCAGAATGAAACATAAATTACCAGAAGGAAGTAGAGAGAGCACATTTTTGCTGAATTAGCCTGGAAAAAAGTTGAAATGAGCTAAAAAAAATAATCTGGAATCACCTGAAAAAGCTTAAAGTAGCATAAAACAGCTAAAGTAGCTGAAATAGTAGAAAAAGCTAGAACTTGCAGAAGTAAGCTGATAGGAGCATATCAAGCTGAAATTAATGGAATGAAGTTAGAAGAAGCACAAAAAATGTTGTAGTTAGCAGATAGAATCTGAAAGGAGCACAAAACAGTGAAAAACCAGCTGAAATTAGCTGGTAGTAGCTGAAAAATGTTAAAATTTGGACAAGGAAGCTGAAAGAAGCAGCACCTGACCTAAATTCATTTTCTATGAGGGAAAAAAGGCAGAAAAGCCTAAATATGTCAAAAAGCTAAAATCACTGAAAATAATTCTAACATTATTAAGGAAGAATCACCACTTTGCATATATGGAATTGCCCATTGCAAAACATCATTGCATTGCAAATTGCCATTTGAAAAAGATGTCGATAATATGAGTCTCCCCTCATCAATGTTGTTAAAAAATATATGATGGCCTTGACTACTTTTTTTTTTCTAATCTGGTTCATCTTGCTCTCTCTCCAGGGCTCCCTCCATATCCTCCACTCCTTCTTGGGCTGTCAACCAAAAACCAATATCAAGAATTTATCATTCCAAGAAGTACAGGTCAGCTTACACTCTTCAACATACAAAGTATTTACTTATTTAAAATATTTTTTTTTTAACTTGGATAATTAGGATGCTCAGTGGGGTTCTTTTATATTCCCTTACCTGAAAGTGACCGTGGGCCTGTTCTCTTAAAAAAAGAACATATATTCATCTATGGAAAAGTAGACATGATGGGTCAGGGTTTTGCTGCTCCACTGTTTCAGCTCATTATCCATGTTGTGGGCCTATCATAGTTACAGTATGAAACACCTTTCTATTCACAGGCAAAGAAATGTAGCCTAATATGGGCAAACCTTAACCTTTGTTAAGGTCATGACCTAAACAAGATTAGCCAGCCTTTGGTTATGACGTCCCCAATTTTTCCTTACCATTTGGTTTAACAGTTCTGTCCAGCAGACTCCCCTGCCACTGGATCCAACTCACCACCAGGTGGTATTCAGTTGACAGCTCTGCCCCTCTCTTTACCCCAGTATTCAAGACATAGGGCTGCTGGTCTGACAACACAATTACAAAATTTATTGACTTTTGGCCTAAAGTAGCCTGGTACCAAGTGCACTATAATTCTTTATAAAGCACTTAAAAACAGCAACAAGGCCAACTAAAGTTATGTACAGCAAAATAACAATCAAATGACACAGGATAACAGTGGTAAAGCTACCAAACCACCCTATAACTTATGACCCACCCTATGCACAGACATGTTTTTCATGGACAACCCAGGCCTAACACAGAAGTCCAATAAGAAAACACCATTCAGGTTCAGATGAGGGAGGCTGTTCCTCCCAATCATGCCCTTCCAGATAACTCTGTCATTGCCCACATGAGCATTGAAGTCACTCAGCAGAATGAGGGAATCCATCGATGGCACCATCCCAAGACTCCAGAAAAGATGGCTAATCTGAACCGATGTTTGGTGCATATGAACAACAGTCAGAACCTTCTACAGCCAGAAGCCACACAGAGGCAACCCTCTCATTCACCGGGGAAAACTTCAACACTGAGGCATTCAGCCGGGGGCTCACACCTGCCCAACGCCCCTCTCTCTAAGCAACTCTGGAGCAGGAGAGAGCCCAGTCTCTGTCCAGGAGTTGGGTTCCAGAGCACAAGTTGCGCATAAAGTTGAGTCCAACTATATCTAGTTGGTACCGCTCAACCTCACACACAAGCTCGAGCTCCTTACCTGTCAGTGAAGTGACGCTCTATATAAAAAGTTCAAATTCTCGTTCATCCTTAGACTTGGTCTGCATTGTTGGGTCCATTTACTTACATTACACTCCACAAATGTGACAGGTGTGTGTACTAATTACACATATCTAAAATATATGTACATTAAAATAATTTACTTTCCCTAAATCATTTATTAATTTATGCTGAATAAGTTTCAGGTTTCCCAGAAGCTGACCCTGCACAGCATTAATGCTTTATATCATCATGCTCGCTTGTGTAAATGCTGGAGGCTAGGCAAGGGAGAAACTCAGATGCCTTTAGGCACAAAGTATGTGTTGTTTCATTTTTCACTGGCTGCTGAGTTTTAGACTCTTACATACCCGTATGGTGGTGGATGCTATCTGGAGGTGGTGCAGCCTGCGCAGGGTGCCCTCTCTGTCTGTAAAGTAGGAGGCAGCCAGCTGGTGGAGGGCTTCCAGAGTCACTGCGCCTGTCGTATTAGAGTTCTTGATGCTGCCCTCGCTCCCTGATGGTGAAGACTCCAGGCTGAGCTTCCTTTTGTCCACAAATATTGTCAGAGACTCCTCCCCTGGGGACAGTCAAACAGAGAGCTTCATTAGCTCTGACGGAGCAGCACTAATCACCTTTCATTAGTATCTTTTCAGATACAAAGTGCAGTGGTGATTAAGTGTTGTGGTGGAACTGATGCTGTGGATGATTGGAGGAAAAGGCACAAACAAGGTCTCTGCATATATTAGGATCCTCATGAATAAATAGATTATTGTAATTATTGTAATCATCTTTATCATTTTTTTCATACTTATCATAACGGACAAAACGTATGTTAAAAAAATAGAGCAAATCTTAAGCCAACACTACTTTCCACAAAGACAGAAATTCTGCATGACACTAAAATTGTGCTTAAGAAAATCTCCCTTTACTTATTCGTTCAGTTTTCAAATGAAAGCTTCAGCATCAAAAATGCAATGGTGTGATATATGTTTCTGGTGTATTTGCTCCCTTCTCCAACTTGCCTCATCTTCTTCTGTAATTACAACATCCGTCTCACACCTCAGAACAAGTGTGAAGCTCAACACCAGGTGAGCCCTTTGATTTCCCTTTCAACGCTCAAGTTATTACGAAACATATAGTGTTTGAGGTCTAATTCAGAAAATGAATGAGCAAACTCTAAAGTGCAAGTTTGTAGCAAGAGCTCTTTAGAGATCTTTAACAAGATGCACAAAAGCCACATTTATCCAATTTGTTTGACTTACAAAATTTATTTTCCTACCAAAGTCATTTTGTATATCTCAGAAGTGTCAAGATGAGATATTTTATCATAACATTGTTTTCCCTATACTGCAACCAAAATGTTTATTTTTCTTTCCTTTTCAACAGTATAAATCTAATAACTGTGAACTTGAGAACTATTAGGATTTTAAAAAGTCCATAACGTGCAAAATATTGAATTTGTTATTACTGTCCAGCATGGCACAACAACCACAACTATGCAGTGATTTGACAAAAAGCAATATGCAGGACATCATTTTGTAATAATTACTGACCGTACTTCAGCAGTGGGACAATCGAAACACTAACCCATTTCTGAAAAGTTGGGATTTTATGTAAAAACATTTTTTTCATTTACCCTTTAATTATACAGGTAGTCTCATTGAGTCACTAGAACTCATTTTCAAGAGAGACCTGTTTAGGGAGCAGATGGTGGGGGTTAAGGGCCTTGCTCAGGTGCCCAGAATGGGGAGAATGAGGGTGGAGGCAGGTGCGTTTCACCTTTTCCACCCACATTTTTTTTTTTTTTTAATGTTGATGGTACCAGGAGTTGAACCTGCAACTTTCCGATCACAGGCCCATCTTTTATAACATCTGCACCGCCACTCCCCTATGTTCCCAAAATGTTCTCCCCAAAATGTTCAAATAAACAGAATGCAGTGATCTGAGATTCTCACAAAACTATGTTTTGTTCACAGTGAAACAGTAATGATAAATATCAAATGTTTTACTAAGTCGCTGTATCATTTTTGTAAAAAAAAGGTACTTTGAATATTGATGGTAGCAACAGGTCAAAAATTGTGAGGACAGAGAAACAAAAGGCTCTTAAAGAAGTGATATGGTGAGAAAGAGCTGGAGGAACTTTTAGAAATAAATCTAATTAATTGGCAACGTCAGTATAAATAATGGGTATAAAAAAGAGCATTTTAGTAAGGTTGAATATCTCAAAAGTAATGATGGGTTGAGTTTCACCAATCTCGCCAAAACAGCATCTAAAAATATGTTGAACAATTTCAGAATAATGTGCCAGAGTAGAAAATTGGGAAGACTTTTAATGTCTCATCTTCTTGTTCATGATTTCATCTAAATATTTCAAGAATCTAATCAAAATCTCTGAGCTCAAAGGAAAAGGTGGAAAGTCAATATTGGACAGTTGTGCTTTCTGGGTCCTCAGGGGCCACTGCATTAAAACCAGGTCAGATTTTGTTCTTGACATCCCTGCATAGACTTCGACAAACCAGTTTTGAAAACCATCTGGAAACATTGTTGTCTTCTCTGCGACAAAGCTAATTGAAAACGGATGGGAGCAGACTGAAAAGTTTGTTGTGGTCAGATGAATTGAAGTTGAAATATTATATAATAAATATTATAATGGCAATAATTATATAATAACAATAATAAAACATTATTTTTGGAAACCGCAGTACAAATTTTAGAACATCTGCTCGCTTCCGAGCAGGCTTATTCAGGGAAGGCCTTGCATATTTCAGCAAGACAATAGTAGTCCACACATTGAACCAATTACAACAGCATGGCTTTAAAGAATCAGAATCAGAATAAACTTTATTGCAAGGGTGTCAGAAGCATCCATAATGTGGGGGGGACGACACAACGATGTGTGTAGGTGTGTGCGCACGCGCGTGCGTGTGCGCAAAAGAAATGTACACTAATGTACTTTGTACAAAAAAAGCAACATTTCACCTAGATTTGCTTTAATTCCACACATCCATCCATCCATCCATTTTCTTTACCCGCTTATTCCATTTTGGGTCACGGGGGTCGCTGGTGCCCATGTCCAGCAATCACTGTGCGAGGGGCGGGGTACACCCTGGATGGGTCGCAAGTCCATCACAGGGCCACATAGAGACAAACGAGACAAACAACCATTCACTCTCTCACTCACACCTAGGGACAATTTAGAGTTACCAATCAGTCTAACATGCATGTTTTTGGTTTATGGGAGGAAACAGGAGCACCCGGAGAAAACCCACGCATGCACGGAGAGAACATGCAAACTCCACCCAGAAAGGCCCCTGGACCGGGGTTTGAACCAAGGACCTGCTCGCTGAGAGGCAGCAGCTCTACCAGTTGCGCCACCGTGCTGCCCTAATTCCACACATTTAAAGCATATTTCTCACCAAGTTTGTGTGAATTCAGCTGTGGGTTTTAAAGTCATTTTAACTTTAATACACTTTAATACAGAGCGTCAGATCTGCACTATTTGTGTTTATAGAGAAATAAAAAACATCACCACTAGACATTTTTACTTGTGTTCAACAGTACTCAACTAAATGATGTTTCTCATGAAGCTTGAGGACAATAAGGTGTGGGGTTTTAAAGACATTTCAACTTTAATGCACCTGAGCACAGAGCGTCTCTTACACCTGCAGCATGTGGCAGCGTCACACTTAATGCTAAGAGAACATGCTATAGACGTAGCGCTGCACTCAAGCATCCTCCTAACATGAATATATCAATCAACCTTTATTTAGACAGGTAAATCCCATTGAGCCTCGAGGACTCATTTATAAGAGAGACCTGATTTCAACAAAGAAAGATGACAACAATGGACAACAGCAACAACAATAAACAGTTATAAAAAAGCATACTACAGTTTTTTTTTCTTTTTTTTTTTTTAACAAATAGGATGGCTAAAAGGAAAAAGGTAACAAAACAAAAAAAAACAGCTAGATTCCAAGACAAATGTAGAAAACTAACAACAGGAACATGTCAGTATTGGACCCTGCCAGGTGTCCAACAGATTCTTAAAGACACTTAGAGAGGTCAAGGTCGAGAGCTTCAAATCTTTTTGTAAGATATTCCAGGAAACAGGAGCGGAATAGGAGAAGGCCCTTTTGCCTAGTTCAGTCCTCATTGAGGGAACACTGCAGGTATTAATGTCCTGAGAGCGCACTCCGTAGCTGCACTCACGCAGAGACATGTAGGAGGAGATGTATGAAGGCAACAGACCAAGAAGTGATTTAAAGATGAAAATATACCAGTGAGAGAGTCTGCGTGAAGTTAATGATGTCCAGTTAACCAGTGAATACAGTGTGCAGTGGTGGGTACGATAATCACAGCCAGTTATGAATCTTAGTGCACCATGATAGACAGCATCCAACATCTGCAGGGTTCTTGTAGGAGCGTTCATGTAAATAATGTCACCATAATCAATCGAGGGAAGGAAAGTCACAGATACAAGGCGTTTTCTAGCATTCAGGGTTAGACAGGATCTGTTTCTGAAAAAGAAACCCAGTTTAACTTTCAGTTTCTTTATCAAGTTTTCCACATGGAGCTTAAAAGAGAGATGTGAGTCGACCAAGATACCCAAATATTTATAGGAATCAACAAACTCAATGGGGACACCATTTGAGGATAAAATAGGAGGAAGAACTGCTGGGACCAACTTCCTATTTGAAAAAAGCATCCCTTTGGTTTTGTCGGCATTTAGGACAAGTTTGAGGCGAAACAAATCAGTCTGGATGATGTTGAATGCAGATTTCAAAAGCTGGAAAGCCTTAGCAACAGTTTTAGCTCGACAATAAACAACTGTGTCGTCAGCATAGAAATGTATGGATGCATTAGGGATGTTTTTACCTACATTATGTATGTAGATTGTAAAGAGGGTGGATCCTAAGACTGAGCCTTGTGGTACACCATTGTTGACTGTTCAATAACTGGAGGAAGTACCATTATGTTGAACACATTGCCTCCGGTCTGAAAGATAGTTAGAGAACCAACCAATGGTGTGTTCTGAGAAACCAATTTCTGAGAGTTTATGACACAAGATGTTATGATCCACAGTGTCAAAAGCTTTAGACAGGTCTAAGAAAAGTGCAGCACAATAATCCTTAGCATCCAGTGCTTCAACAACATCATTAAGAACCTTCAGTGAAGCAGTGGTTGTGCTGTGTTGTTTCCTGAAACCAGATTGATGTGGAGGTAAGATGTTAAATGAGTCCAGGTAATCTTTGATTTGAGAGTTTATCAGTTTTTCTAGAACCTTGGCTAAAATGCAGAGTTTAGAGATTGGTCGATAGTTGTTCAGTGAGGTGGGGTCTCCTCCCTTCAGCAAAGGAAGAACAAAGGCTGTTTTCCAAGTGTCTGAGATGGAGTTTTGTCTTATGGAGAGATTGAAGATGTGGGTCACAGGGACTGTGATGATATGAGCAGCCAGCCTTAAGAAATAAGGTGGAAGTTCATCTGGACCTGCAGATTTTTTAGGATCAAGATCTATTAACAGTTTATTGACCTCACTGACTGAGAATGGAGAAAAAGAGAAGCTGTGATTAACTGAGG